GGCTGGTGATGTTAAGGAAGGGTAGGCAATGTTTCATAGGTCCCGTGTTTACCCCATGTGACCCTTCTACATGTGTAACTATAGTCAAAAGAAAATGGGTGTGATAGTGAATAACTGCACAAAAGAGAGAATATGGAGCTAACTCGTGCCATCTTTAATAATAAGTGTAATGATGATTACATATGAAGTGTGTCATTAGCAGAGCAGTGAAAATAACAAGTAAATGCTGGTAATTGACGAAAAATATTTATTGTTAAGTGAACTACAGCAATGAGAGTGTTTACACTTGTTGTAGTACATAATCCAGAGATGCCAACCTCTGGAAATCTAAAATCTGGAGACTCTTTTTTTTTTGCATTGAGTGAATTTGTATGAAATGTCCACATACAGGTCATGTTGAATTTGATCAGTTTCTCAATTCTCAACATGCGTGACCTTTTTGATACATGGTTGCCAAAGGAATAGTTTTGAAATTGCCAGACTGACAGTCAAATGTACACTTTCCCTGACCAAATTAATTGACAATTTGTCCAGATATTAATGGGTTCCAAGGGCGCGATCCATTCAACCAAACTTACCGGAAATTTCGGTCCAAAACTCAATGGATCGGTTCGGTCCAACCGGAAAAGTTTCGAAAAAACGGGTCCACCTTATGAGGTGGTCCTCTTTTCCCGGTCGGACCGGTTGGAATTTTCGTTGAATGGATCGCGCCCCAAAATTCCACTCAAAGTTCGTGTACTCGACACAGATGACCTAGAGCAAAAGACTTCTTTGTTTTCTGTTCAGGGAAAATCTGCTTGGTATTGTTTCAAGGCTGTTGTTCTTTTGTTTTACATATCATCTGTGTCCGGTACAAAAAATAAATGCCCCAACTCCCATCACCGCCTTCCTTTCCCATGTTCAGGGAAAATCTGCTTGGTATTGTTTCAAGGCTGTTGTTCTTTTGTTTTACATATCATCTGTGTCCGGTACAAAAAATAAATGCCCCAACTCCCATCACCGCCATCCTCGCCACCCATTTATTGCATGAATTTATCGTGAATATAAAGCACAGAATAGATTGATCTTATAGGAAACGCTATATCTGCTTGTCGTGTAATTCCTGCAAACAATATCCTTCTGATGAAATATGTTTAACTTCGGTGAATATGCAGAAATATGTCATCTCCCTCTGACTTCTTTGAAAGAGTTAAGTTTTCCCTGACTTATACTGAAATTCCGTGACTTAATAAATTGTCCCTTACGGGTAAAATAATTAATTTTCCTGGCATTGTAACAGATGTTACACACAAATATCGTGAGGAGACAAGACCAATATATAACAAATTCTTTTGATTGTGCCTTGAAGGAGAAACCAAAGAAATTTTGGTCCTATATCAAATCTAAAAAACAAGATCAAATTGGCATTCCTCCATTAAATGGTAATGGTAAGGTGTTGACTGACAGTACAAGTAAAGCTGAAGTTTTAAGCAACCGTTTTCGACAGATATTCACTAAAGAGGATCTTTCCTCCATACCGAGCAAAATGATCCCTGTAATTATAGACCTGTCTCCCTTACTGCTGTGTTATGTAAAATCATGGAACATATCTTTTATAGGAACATTATGCACCATCTTGAGGACAATGTCATCTTATTTGCGAACCAACTTGGATTTCGGAAAAATAATTCATGTGAATCTTAGTTGATACTGACTGTTGAAGACCTGGCCATGAACTTAGATCATGGAGATCAAGTGGATATGATCATGTTAGATTTCAGTAAAGCTTTTGATAAAGCACCCCATCAACGCCTCATTGGCAAATTGCAGTTTTATGGCGTTCAGGGAAGTACCCTTACTTGGATTAAATCTTGGCTCACTAGTAGATGACAGAGTGTCATAATCGATGGCATGTGTTCAAAATCTGTAGATGTCACGGCAGGGGTACCTCAAAGCACAGTACTAGGTCCATTAATGTTTTTGTTATTCATCACTGGTATGCAAGACGATCTAGTACGTACACTAAGATTGTTTGCTGATGATGCTTTATTGTATCATAAAATCACTCATAATGACGACACCTTGGCTTTACAGCGTGACCTAGACAAACTAGGCCTATGGGCTGATAGATGGCAGATGCTGTTCAATCCCTCCAAATGCTACAAAATGTCTGTTTTCCGTAGTAGATCCCCAGTAGTTAAAGACTACACCCTTTACAACCAAACCCTGGTAGCTGTTCAGCAACATCCTTATTTAGGTGTNGGCATGTGTTCAAAATCTGTAGATGTCACGGCAGGGGTACCTCAAAGCACAGTACTAGGTCCATTAATGTTTTTGTTATTCATCACTGGTATGCAAGACGATCTAGTACGTACACTAAGATTGTTTGCTGATGATGCTTTATTGTATCATAAAATCACTCATAATGACGACACCTTGGCTTTACAGCGTGACCTAGACAAACTAGGCCTATGGGCTGATAGATGGCAGATGCTGTTCAATCCCTCCAAATGCTACAAAATGTCTGTTTTCCGTAGTAGATCCCCAGTAGTTAAAGACTACACCCTTTACAACCAAACCCTGGTAGCTGTTCAGCAACATCCTTATTTAGGTGTTTTGCTGTCTAGCGATCTGCGGTGGAACTCTCATGTGGACAAGATTGCTGAAAAGGGGAACTCTTCACTTGCATTTGTGAAAAGGAAATTGTATACCTGCTCTGAAGAAACCAAACGAGCAGCATATGTATCACTTGTCAGGCCACATCAAGAGTATGCGACTGCAGTATGGGATCCTTACAGACAGAATCAAGTGGAGAAACTAGAAGCTATCCAAAGTCGTGCAGTGAGATTTCTTAAACATGATTATAGTTATAACACCAGCGTGTCCAAACTGAAGAAATCCCTATCTTTGGGTTTACTAAGCGAGAGAAGAAAATCCCACCGTCTACAAATTTTCCATAAAGCTGTGTTTAATGATATTCCTTTGCCTATTCCGCCTTATTATCAATTATCTATTTGGGAAACTAGAAATTACTCGACGAATTCATTTATTCAACCATCTGTACATCATGATTAATATAAGTATAGTTTCTTCCCGAGAACTATAAGGAACTCGAACTGTTTATTACCTGAAACCAGATCACTTAATTATTCAGCATTTTGCAGTGGAAAATTATTTTAAGTTTGATTTTTAAGTCTAGCAATATTCTTATTTACATGTTTTATTTCTTTATTTCTTTAGTATTTTTTATTAGCTATGTTTATATTCTTATTCTTTTAACTCTTCTTGATGTGTAATAGCATTGAAGAGTATTAAAGTAGATGTAGACGTTAATGGGTTTTTCCTTCTCCTCAACTTATGGACAAACTTGTGCTGTCCTTCGGATACAATATTAAGCTAAGACTAATATAAAAATTTAAAAAAACCTTCCATTTGTAGAATTATAGTTTTCAATTCACTTTCGTTTTGCTTATTTCCCTGCCGCCCACGTTGTTAACCAAGTTCATGTCGGGAAACTTCGGGAGGGAGAGGGAATTGAGGCCCTCGTCACTAAAACACGTTATCAGTTTTTTTTTCCAGGGAAAGGAAGGCTAGTTTTTAATGACAAAGACAGAAACCACGTCAACAGTGCAAAAACGGCAGCGTTTACGAGAGAAACGCTGTCGCAGGCAAGCGGGGTCAATTATCTTTACCCCGAAATTGTAGAGGAGATATTTGGTAAGTATTTTGTGTAAGTGTCTTTAAATACATGTATGATATAATGGCGCATGATCCAGAGTTTTACACGTAACAGAAGTGAGGGATACTGACCGTCGGCTTTTTGTTGTCTTTGGTACAACATTATTCCTAAGTCACTGGGTAATTCGAGTGATGGCCAGAAAAAATGAACGAGGATATTCAGAATAGAGTAGTAATAGAGGAAATGAGAAGCAAACCCGTACGACTTTGAAGAACATTAATTTTGTACTATTATGAATGTCACATTCATTAAATACCGTACACGTCTCGTATATCGTACCGAGTACTGAACCTCGTTTTTTTCTCGGGTAAGGGGCGGGGGGACCTCATTTCAAATTTTAAGCCTTAGGAAGGGCGCTAATTCGAAGAGGGGCGCTTATTTGAAGTTTACCCAGTCCTTAATACCCCTGAGGGGATTAGGCGGGATGGACGAGAGGAAGGTCTGCAAGGTAAACACTATTGCTTTTCTTCACCATCCATATGCAACTGCGTGCGGGTGTCATGTTGCCAAGTGGATTAAGTGAATTATATTCTTGTACAGAGAAGGTTCACTAAGCTTCATGTTGTGGCCATGGCAAAATTATTCTTATTTTTCTAATTGCAGAATATGTATTTAAAAAATTTAACGTTAAAGACGGGGAGAGACAAGCCCTAAAAGAGACACTCGCGAAACGAATAGGACAGAAGTGTTGCGACACAAGAAAAGTGGTTAACAGAGGTAAGTAACCGAGAAAATTTTGTTTTTGGCGGGGGATGCATTTTTGGATGCAATAACGATGGTATATTTTTATTTTCAGAAAAAAACAAAAGTAGATCATTTGAGCTTACTATTCCTTTTTGTGTTTGGAATTGCAGGAAAGAAGAATTCACTCGTAGCGGAAAATAAAATAGATTTAAAAAAACACTTGAGTAAAGTAATAAGATGTGTACACTTCTCCTGTGAGGCGAATTAAAGATGGTGGACAAAGCTTTCGAAAAGCAATGACCAAAGCATGCAAAACTTGAGTGTTGTGCTTGGTTTGGCAATATCATAATTTCTCTATTACCTTCAAAACCCTCCTGTATCAAGTGTTGACTCAAGATTGTGTATAATAGCTCTGTATTTATTTTAACTTCACTTAGTTTAAATTGGAAGTTTTGTAACATAAGATATGTAGTTTTTTTTAAGACTATTATTATTATTATTATTATTATTATTATTATTATTATTATTATTATTTCGAAAAAGACTGACAAGAGATAGAATCAAAACCATAATGACTCACGTGGTTGTCCAAGATTGCAACAAAGCAAATATCAAAAAAGAGGAAATGGAGGAATATGAATACAAAGTGTTTGATGGGCTTCACAGTCAGCTGCTGCCAAAGCCCTGTACCAAAAATACCCCTGAAAATCCACCTTTTAAAGACAGATATGCTCGAGTATATTGTGGTTTGTCAACTGAAGAAGCTCTGTGGCTTGTGTCAAGGCACAATATAAGAGCAGTTATGCATCATGTCATTTCATCAAGATATTGGTAAATTTATAGTTACCTTCAATTCTCATAAATTTCATTTTTAATTTCATCCAATTGAAAGGTAAAACATGTGACAAAGTCATAAAAACTTTAAAGTTGACCCTTGCAAATGGGTAAAACATTGCCTGAGAAGGGTCTATTTATAGAAACACGTGGATAGAATCATCAAGAGAATCAATTTTGCACTATTCAAATGTCTGCTGCTTGGTTCATCAACAAATTATTCAAACAAGCTCCAAACATGGAGTTTCTCAACATGGCATACAATTCTTAATGTTAGGTGAATTTAAGGTGATGGACAAACCTTTCCAATAGCAACGACCAAAACATGCGTGGTTTGGCACCATCACAATTTCTCCATTACTTTCTTTGGATTATTCTGACATTAAAGAGTTTCTCAAACGTCTTCAAAAGAGAGTCAGATGGGACAGTAGTTCTTAATTGTCAAGCAGCATAATTATGCAAAGCAAGGAACAAATTTACCTTCCACTGCCCAGATGCTGGTCTGACTGTAACAAACAATCTATATTTTCAGGATTCATTCAGTACATGTGAGCAAAAAACCCTGGAGCAAAAAAAAAGTACCTTTCAATGTGTACCTCTGACTCTGCACCATCTACAGACATAAATATCTCATGAACTTGCTGTGAAAACAAACTCCAGTAGTAAAAGTAGATCCAATAACAACTCAGCAAAACACAACTCTAGCTGAAGTGGAACAAGATGCAGTAAAACCCCGCGTATAAGAACCTGGGTCATTTTAAGAATCTGTTAGGCTAAAATTTTCATTTTAAGTCCCCTCCACATAAGAACCTTTTAAGGCTAAAATTTTAAGTTAGGTTCTTAACAGTGGAGTTACTGTAAAAGTGTATAGGTAGAAGCTGCTGAATTAAGATCATCATCTGATTATACTTAGAAGTAACTTGACATAAACGGTGTATGAAAAAACGTACACTGCAGACTTTCAGGCGACTCACGAACTTTGTCAGCCTCGTGAGATCTAGTTCCAGGCGGCTCAAAACGCCAGGGTTGAATCCCTCTGAAGGGCTACCCTATACTTTCGGGTGCTTCGCCTTCTAAAAGTTTTTCTATATCTGAATAATCGGACGAAAAGGGTAGAGCTATCACTTAAAGAACTAGAGTAGGCCATATAAGAGATCATTTATTTGTTCCACAAGTGTGACGTAACGTCACGTGATTAACGAGATCGAAGCGTTAATGGCAGAAGATCGTGCGAGCAGCAAATTAAACACTTTCAAGTGCGATTTCTGAGCCAAATAGATCGTTTATGGTATATGTCTTGGTTGGATGAATTGGCAAATTGCTTGCGATCTAGCAGATAACTTGCAAACCAATCATGTGGCCTGCCACGGACACCATATTTAGAGAGTTTATCTAACAATATTTAATGATTTACTTTATCAAATAATTTGAGATATCTAAGAAGAGGCCACAAGATACAAGGTTACTGTCAATAGAGGCCTTCGGATTATCAGTGACCTCCATAATCGCTTGCTCAGTAGAATGGCTTTTTCTGTAGCCAAACTGGTACTTAAATAATTAATAAAAGCATTTTAGAACAAATTTTACCTGCCAGACTGCAAGTCTGCATTTTTTGCACTCCGAAATTGATCCTTGAAAATAAATTCTAATATGTTTACACCTTGGTCGGTGGTTCACAAAAGTCTTTTGTAACTTTTATTTTTAGTCTGATAACAGGGAACACTTCCTGTTTGTCATTCGGGATACGATGAGTATTCCCGAACAATTCCATATTATGGAGAAAATTCAACTGATAACTTCTGGTGAAGAGGCCGTAATCCAATTCCCAACATCAGAGGAATTAGTGGATTATAACACAGAGTAAGTAAATACCAGCTGCTTATTGGCTCAACTAGCTGTAGAAAACTTTTAAGAGTGCCCTGGTTTCTGTAGTTACACTTTAATCTTACTAAAATAACGCCGACTTACTGGTACACATATCATTAGTGATAGGATCTTGGGACTTGCTAGATGTTGTTCATGTTGCCTTCTTACATTTGATCCCACACGATGAAAACAATATGTTAACTCATGATTTTGTCATCCGTTTTCGATAAGTTGAACTACAGACAAGTTAGCTTTAATGTACATGTATTTTCTACTTTTCAGAGAACTGGTAGCTTTTAAGGAAAAGATGCTTTGTTGTCTCACAAAAATTGCAGAGGACAGAGACTATTGTGTAGGAGTAAGTATCCTATACAGTAAACCAAAGGTGGTTCGCATCCCAAAAATATCTGCACATGCATCTGGATGATTATATGGGTCTGTGCGGCTCTTGGTCTGTGCAAATATTGTCTCTCTCTAAGACGGACAGCGTAGGGACTGGGTCAAAATGTCTCCGTCACAGAGAGATGTCTGTCTTGAAGAGAGTCAAGTTTCAGTTAAATGACTAAAAAATGGTATGAAAGGGACAAACATTAGTTGTCCTTCTAATAATAAGGAAGAGTGAACTGTACTGACCAGTCTACTCTAAAGTTACACTTTTTAAAACAGTATATGTCTGAGTTATCTTTTTGTTTTCCTTTTGTTATTGTTTTTTAAAACTGTTGTTTTGGGTGGCTTAAAACTTTGATTTTTGTCTGCCACTTCGAAAATTAATCTAAACTCTAACTTTTCAATGTTCCATGTTCTTCCACCTTAGGAAATATCCCATCTTTCTTTTCAAAACGATGAGCTGTTGAATGACAGAGCGGTAAGCTTGCTTTTGCCAAATGTTATACTTACTATCTAATAGTTTGTAACAGTGTTTGTTGTAGAAAGAGTGCTTTTCACTTGGTGC